TACATACCAGACAATTGACAAGGAGTGCAGGCTCAAGAAGTCACTTTAAGCAGCCTCCTTGAGTTTGGTTTAACAAGTTTAGAAAGGTTATGGTGGGCATGAGATATTAGCAGATGAATGTCGACCATACAACATTTTTCGACAATATGGAGGTCACATCACTATGCTTGTTATGTATGTTGATGACATGTTTGTTACCGGTGATGGTAACGCAAAGGTTGTTCATCTAAATATAAGATTGGGCAAAAAATTGGAGGCGAAGGACCTAGGAAATCTCAAATACTTCATTGGCATTGAGTTGCCACGTGGGCCAAAGGGGATGGTCTTGTCTCAGAGGAAGTGTGTATTGGATCTCCTCATAAGAACAAACATGCTGGGATGTAAGCCTACAATCTCTCCAATTGATCAGAAGGACAAACTCAGTGCAGAGGCAGGAGAGCCAGTTTATTGCAAGAGGTACCAAAGATTAGTGGGTCATCTAATTTATCTGAGTCACACTCATCATGACATCTCATTTGCAGTTTGTGGTGAGCCTTTACATGCATGATGCATGGAAGGGTCATATGAATGCAGCGTATCAAATTATGAGGTACTCGAAGGGTGCATCGGGGAAGGGGTTGATATTCAGGAAGAAATGACATGTAGGCATTAAGTGTTATTGTGACTCTAAATGGTCGAGTTATACTGATGATAAGAGGTCCACATCAGGATACTGCATGTTCGTAGTGGGCAACTTGATCTCTTGGAAGTGCAAGAAACAGTCGGTTATAGCGAGGTCAACAACAGAGGCAGAGTACAGGGCCATTGTCTTAGGAGTTGTTGAGATAATGTGGCTGAGAGCCGTGTTGGTAGAGCTCAAGGTGGACAGACTAAGGAGCTCAAATGAAGCCATGGTGCAACAACAAGTCAACAATCAACATTGCCAGCAACTCGGTGCAACATGATAAAACCAAACATGTCGAGATTGATAGGTTCTTCATCAAGGAAAAGCTGAATAACTGACTACTTGAGCTAAGTCATGTAGCCACTAGAAAGCAAGTAGCAAATTGCCTCACCAAAGAGCTTGGCTCATTAGAGTTGTCCAGGTTATGTGATAAGATGGGCTTAATGGATATCTTTTGCCCATCTTTAGGGGGAGTTTTGAGATTTGAACCTAATTTATGGCCATATTTGTAAATAGAGGAAATCTAGGAATTTATTTATAAAGAACGTATAAGCCAAGTCATTAATGAAATGAACAGGTTTTTGAGAGCAAATTTTCTATTCTATCTTCCTTAAATAACAACCAAGAGATATATTGTAGAACTTTCCGGTTGCAATAAAAAATACGTTTCTAAGTTTCCTTAGCTAACGTGAAGGTTTCATCTTCATATTGTAAAATTGTGCCCAAGTTCCAAAAGAAAACACAGGCGGTCACACATAAAGTAATAATAATAATAAATAATAAATAATAAACAAACAAAATATGGGAATTGACTAAAGGGAAATCACAATCAAAAGAATGCTGCTGAATATAATCTTACAGATATCTTTTCAGCAATTTCTTCTCTTGTTTTGTCGGAATAAGCACGGAAAACTTTTCCCTCTATTACAATTGGCTCTATCGCTTCCTCTTCTGATTTAAGAATTCCACATTCCAAAGCAATGGCTTTGGCTGTCTGTATATTATCTCCAGTAACCATGCGGACCTGGTACATACATCATTTACAACTTGCATCATTAACAACTTCTTCAGACTGAAAACATTTGCTTATCCGGCGCAGAAAATATAAGTACATTTCGCTAACATCATAACAACAAATAACATATACGGAGCTTCGCATGAATAATTAACTCGCCAAAATATCACAACTAAAATATGTTCCACAGCATACAAATATTACATTAACTTGCAGCAATCACATTTCTTAGCATTTTTTCAATAAACGCCAAACAACCTATTTGAAAGGAAATAACATGCTAAACGTGTACACTTTTTTTAAAAAAGTAGTTTGCAATCCAAGAAAGTAGAAGTTGACCAATTACCTTGACACCAGCATTGGTGCATAGTTGCACAGCATCTCTAACTCCAGGCCTACATGGATCCTAAAAATTTAATAGAAAGGATTTATTAAGAACAAGATGGTGAAAGAAAAAAACATAAATCCATAACGGCAATAACCTTTAAGCAATTCTCAACTTCAGAAAATTAACATATTGCTCGAAATTTGTTCAAAAAATGAAGCAGGTTAATTCTAAACTTATACGAATAAATTAGAAAGCTTGCAGATAGGAGAAGAGAACATAATTTAAGAGATGTCGAACTTCGGGCAAGGTGAAGTTCAGCAAGTCAATAACACTCAAAAAAGAAACCAAAAAGAAATATGCATGATAAGAAAGCGCATAGAACAAACACAGTAGTTAAAAGAGAATGTGAGCAGTATAGCCGAGAAGATCAGTCACATATAAAATTGTTAAAAGTAGCAATTTCAACCTAAATTATTTCATAAAGTCGATAGATCTAGTATAGCATGCTTGCATTTGTATCGTTTACAGGATGGTTGAAAAAGAATATCAAATGTCCATTCATCAAGTGTGCAAATTCAAATTTAGGCAACAAGGAACTTCAAAATCTAAAATAAGAAAGGGACATTTATCAACATACCACCCAATTCTTATGTATTTACCTATCTAACACCTAAACTTTGATTTTCACATTCATAACACCCAAATGTATCTTATCACATAAAAAACACCACTATTTTAACTTTAAAAAAAGTAAAATACACCTTTTCACGCATAGGTAGGGTGGCATCTATGTAAACATTGAAGTTTAGGTATTGATATATAAATATATAAGAATTGAGAGGTATGCATGTAAATCTTCCAATAATAAAATCTCTAATATATTACAGACCTTTATCCCTACAATAGCAAGCAGAATCAAATCACTTTCAGGTAATGCCCAACCGTCCCTCTCTTCTTCTTTGGGTACATTATCCATTTCATATAATCTGTATGCGATGGCAACACAACGAAGACTAGCTGCTGCCATATCTTCAATAGATCGTTTGAAAGCATCCATCTAATAAACATTATAAGGTTGGTTTAGAAGTAACAGAAAGATAAAAGCAGGCATTATGAAGCTAATCAAACTACAATAAATGGGGATAATTGAAAAAAGTATGCCAAGAAATTAACAAAGTTAACCTGATTTGTGGTCATTTCCTGCGGTTGACCATTTGAGTCCAACCATTTTGTGCATGAAGCTAGAACTATCTCAGCAGCTCCCTTCCAATGTACATGAACTTCCGAGTTTGCCTGTAACAATAGAAAAGGGACAACAGTAGTCTGAATAAGAGAGCATCAAAGAAGCCAGAAAAGTATACAAAAATTATAAGAATAATAAACTATAAATAAAGTAATAAGTAAAATCTTCGTGAACACAATAACATATCAAAATAAATCAATTAACAGTCTGCATAATGCTATATCAAACTAAATTAACTAACAGTTTTGTAGGCCACATTACAAGAAAAAGATACATATTAAAAGGGTGAATGACATTTTAGAAACTGGGGAATATTTCTCATGAAGTTGTCAAGAGATAAGACTAGACAATTATGCAATTAGATCAAAACAGGAAGATTGCTTTACAAATGTTCAGCAGAAAACAACTAGACAAAGCAAATGAGAATTTCTCATTACTTGCACGATCGCAATAAAGAGATGACTTATCAAAAACCTAAATTTACAGCGCATGCTAACTGCAATCTTAGTTTTAATTTTACATATGTACTACATAAGATAATAACATAACAAAAAGGAATGCAAAATATTACATAAAATGTTCAATCTAGCGAGCGAGGACTGAGTTGTAAAAACAAAATAAAAATATATATAAATAATAGCATACAAATAAATTGAGTATACAAAAATAATTACCACGTGCACTGCAACACCTCCACGCTTCTTTTCCGAGTTGAAAGGGAAAACATGAAGAATTGATGTTCTAGACCTAGCGTCATCAAACTTCATTCCCAGCTGTTGAAATTGAAATGATACTCACAACCAGTAGTAAATAAAATATCACGTCAAAAAAAGATTATAAACAGCTTATCCAATACCTTAACAGCCCAAGAAAGTATTGCCTTTTCAGTAGGGGAGCCAGTAACTTCAACAGGACCACCATCCTAGAAATAACAAAAATATATGTAATTATAATCAGCAGCAGAAGAATTTCAAAAGGGTGATTTATGTGCTACAGTAATGAATTCTAGAATATTAGCAGAAATGTCTTGAGAAAAACGTGAACTAAAAACTTTATCGAAATTTATAGGAAGTTCTTTAATAAACTGTCACCAAACCAGTAAAAGCTATATTCATTTAAGTGATGGAAACATATATATTACTAACTGCCAAATAGAGCCCATTAAATAACAAATTTGGCGTAAAATATGATGGAAATCATTATAGTAGGAATAGGCATCAACTATCAAATTCTTGAAAAGGGTCACTTGATCTTGTCTCAGATACAACCTTTTGGGGGAAGAAAAGGGAGGGTGATATCCTTCAATTAAAAATATGTTACCTCTGGTTCATATACATTGCCAGTTGTATTCTGAGCAATACTTTCAAACAAGAGTGAACATACAGAAGAAGATAACTCATGGCTATCATCCGGAGAACTTAGCTTTACCCCACCAACATGAGCTTCCACAACCGTCATCTGAATCATTATCATAAAATCAATTAGAAAATAATCGACACATTATGTTAATATAGAGACTTCATTAGTTTTTTTTAGTGTCCCGTTTATCACACTGGAGGTAAAACACAAGGCACTTTAGGATAATAGATATGATTAATCTACTCAACACCCATTAACAGTGTCACTCCAGAAATTATCGAAATACAAATCATCTAATTGTTAACTCTAAAATTCGAAGATAAACTTAAAAACAATGATAAAAATCATATCATGGAAACATAAACAACAATACCTGATTCAATGTTAGAGTTCCAGTTTTATCACTACAGATTGTAGTGGCAGATCCCATAGTTTCACAAGCTGACAGCCTCCGGACCTATAACATAGCAACTTACAAATAAAGCAAGTTGAAGTTGGCATTTTAGTTTGATTTTTTTTTTTTTTAAAGAAGCATACCAAAGCCTTGTCTGCCATCATCTTCCTCATTGAATAAGCAAGACTGAAATTAAGAATATCAATTAACCTTAAGAAATAAGAAAAACTTCTTATCGACAAGAAGAAATACAATTAAAACTCACGTTAATGTAACAGCCAATGGAAGACCTTCAGGTACAGCAACGACCACAATGGTAACCTATTTATCATTCATAGGCTGCTTAGTAACTAGAATAATAAAAGGGGCATTTACATACATGCCGCCCAATTCCTATTTATTTACATATCGAACACTTAAGCTTTACTTTTTACATTTATACCGCCCAATTCTTTCATATCATATAAAAAATACAACTATTTTAACTTAAAAAAAAAAAGGGAAATACAGCTTTTCATGCATGGGTAACATGGCATAAAAGTACAAATTGAAATTTAGGTGTTACATATGTAAATACACAGGGATTAAATTGTATGAATGTGAATCTTCCATAATTAAAATCCAGGTTTGTTATATGGATACATACCGCAACAGTCAAAATCTTAACAGCACCATTTACAGCATCTTTCACACTTGTTTGGCCCTTGATAAATTGAACACTTCCATCAGGATTCTTTGTATGACCGGTGAAGAATCTGAAAATTAAGTCTCGAATCTTTAGTTTGCCAGAAATAATATTTTGAAAACTCATGCACACAGTTATGAGTTCCAATAACCTGACTATAAGGACAACAAGAACCAAAGCAGCAACAGAGAGCCCTACTATACCAATTAAAGTTGCAACACCATTCAAGCGCACCTTTTGATAGGAATGAAAAAAATGAATCACAGAGAGAAAATAACAAACAAATAATCAACAAAAAAGGCCACAAAAAACCTGCAAAGGTGTTTCTTCGCCACTCTCTTCTGATATACTAGCCATCAATAACCCCCATTCAGTATTGATACCCACAGCAGTCACCTGAACACAGGATAACATACAAAATACATAGGCAAGTAAATAAAATAACAGGGTAATACATTAAGAATTAATAAAGTTGATATAACTTCAAAAGCATAATCATATGAAACTTTGTTAAATGCAACTCTAAGAAAGAGTAAGGACAAAAACCAGAAGCAGCATCCCACTTGAAAATAAAATCAACATTCATCAACATTAAACATTATATCAATCCCCATTCCCCAATATTTAAGAAGAATGATTACGTATTATGGATGAAAAACATATCCAGACCCATTAGAGCGAAATGAAAATATCACTTCACAAAAATGAAATCTTCCCATTATATTTACTCCCCAAGTTACATAACCAACTTAATAGTATCCAATTATGTAACTCAGACAATGCTAAACATTAGCTCTTCAAGAACTACCTGCTTCTCATTTGTCAAGGGTCGAGAAAAAATGAGAAATCAGCTGCCAATGCTGATAAGCAAGTGCAAAAAATATGCAACTATGGTTTCTACAAACCATGGCAAGTTCCAAAATCTTGAAAACAATCAGGATAATAACTGCTCAGACTTTTTTTTTCTTATCCATAATATTTTGTTCTATCAATCATAAAGTACTCAAGTCAGCAAAACAATTTAGACAACTAGTTAATAACCTTCCAAGGCATTTATTGGACTGAGCTAATGCACCAAATAACAACAGAATAAAAGATATTTGTTTATCCATGAATGCTATTCTGCAAGTTACCAAAGAAGAGAACTTACAAGCATAGTCCCGTAACCATCAGCAACTTTGCACCCAGACATCAAAAATGGGATTTTTAGATCCTTGTGGGCCTGTAACAAACAATTGAAAATATGATGTCAATCACAGTAATGAAAAATACAATAAAGAAAAAAAAAATCACTTAGTAAGACCGTGAGTGGAACCATTTTTTTCTTTCTTCAGTTTACTATTTTCTGGTTTTACACAGAAAAAAAATTTTCTTTTGTCAGGCTGTACTAAATTGCTTAATAATTTTAAAAACCAAATTGGCTAGGAAGTTAAAATTCATGAAAAACACTGTTCAACTACATCAGCATTCAAGTATGCATTAATATTAGCTAATTTGCTTTCTCAAGTTGTTTATTACAGAAGTAGCTAATTTGCTTTCTCGAGTTGTTTATTACAGAAGTCAACTCAAATCATAATTATATAATTTAATATTAAAAACATCAAAAAATTTATTAATTAACAGCATAGCCAGAAACAAAAATATATTAAAATTTTCATAATATAACAAATTGCACATTTATCTATAAGTCTAACTGCAGAAATAACGATCTACCCAAAAAAGCTGAAACATAAAAACAGCTCAAACATGTAAAAACAGGTTAATACATAAAATATTTTTCCTTTTTTTTACATCAACAGTAATTTTACATATTATTAATTATAATTATTAAATTAAATGGATCGATTATATTGGTTCATAAAAGATTTCTTGTTTACATCATCAGTAATTTTACAAATTATTAAGCTGTAATTGTTAGATGCATACAATTTTAAATATTTAATTAATTTTTATTGGTAACATAATTTTCATATTCTTGCTCATTTTAAAGTTATTGTAGCTAGATGCTACTATATTAATTATTCCTATAATTTTTCTAATATGCTTGTTTCAATAAAATTCAAAATTAACCTAAAGTGCATATTATAGAAAAATATTTATTTAATAATTAAAGTAGATACTATTATACAATTCGAAACCAAAGTCAATGAGCAAACAACGACGAAATTGCAATGAATGGGTGGAAAACTCAAACGAGGGTTGCTCTTATGAAAATCAAAAGAAAACAAGAAAGATACGATGATGATCTACTATTTGAGAGGCAGATCGTCTCTCCCCAAACCCTAGATGTCGCTAAGAACACCGCTAGAAGAAATGAAAGCTACAACAAGCCAAAATATCAATGACAAAAACCAAACCCTAGGTTAATAGCCTTAATATAATCCTTATCACAATCATCAAAATTTCCCCTCAAACTCCTCTAATTTCTCCTCATTTCATGGGTGATTAACGCCCTTGTCGAACCCACTTGATTGTTGGAACTCTCTGCCCCGCTCCCCGCCGAACCAAACCTCTCTGTCGTGTTCACCACGCCTTGTTGTGTCAACCGGCCCTTAAAGGGCTGGGGTGGGTCGGACAAATGATGCCCGACCGGTCCTGCCTGGACTGCCTCCTGACTGGGCTTAACAATACTCTCCTCCCAAAGAAGCACCTTATCCTCAAGGTGGAATGATAAGAACTATTTTCTGATCAGTTGATATGGTCTCCATGTTGTTTCACTCTGGTGGACCCATCCACTTAAAAAGTACATCCCTTGTTCTCGCCCCTTCGCGTACTAGATCACCTCCAGGTCCTCTATTATAATTAGGGGTAGTGACAATGAGGGTGTATGATCTTTGATTGCCGTCTCAACTATGAAAAATGGAAGATTAGATGTAGTGTTGAAGACGGCGATAACCTCAACAAGTAGGCCACTTCCTCGATGCGAGCCGTCACTTTGTAAGGTCCAAAATGACGAATTGAAAGTTTCTCACTCCTCCGTTTGGTCAATATCTTTTGTTTGTAGGGTCTCAACTTCAAATAAACCATGTCCCTTTGTTCAAACCGCACCTCTCTCCTATGTTCATTTGTGTTACACTTCATGATCTGTTGAACTCTCAATAGATGCCCATTGAGCTCTGCCTATATCCCGTCCCTCACCTACAAGTACTAGTACTAGTTGACACTGGATACCAGTGCAACACTATGCCAATAGTGTATCAGGTGGGGTGGATCCCGCCCAAATAAAATCTTGAAAGGAGTGGTTTGCTCCGTCATATGGTACGAAATATTATACCAACATTCGACCAATGCAATCCTCTTGGCCCAAAGCTTCGGCCTATCCGAAACAAAACAGCGCAGGTATGTTTCCACATTCCTATTGACCACCACCGTCTAACCATCAATCTGAGGATGATATGTAGTGCTTCTCTTGAGGATTATTCTTTGTAACCTGAACAACTCCTTCCATAACTGGCCGAGGAACACCTTGTCCTTATCTGATACAATTGATTCTGACACTTCGTGCAAACGGACCACTTCTCATATGAACATCGTGGCGACTAAGACCGTCG